CTTTGTTGATGAGAGTAGACCTATGTGTGGAGGAAGTTCTCTTTTCACAGGAATCTGCAGTTGCTTTTGTAATAAACTAAAAGTAGACCTAGTTGCTGATTGTGCAAAGAAGTATAAAAAGTATTTCTAGCTGTCTGAACATGATGCTGTTAGCACAACATCTCTCTATGTAAGAACTGGTAAGATGTGACAATAAGATCTGGGGAAAAACAGCCACCTTAAAATTCAGCAGTTTGAATCTTTATGCTGCTTGGTGTAATTGTATGTTCTTCTGATGATGGCATGTTCTTCTGATTCTTATTTCTAAAATAATAACAAAATGCTCTTCAGGTAAACTGGGTTGTATTAAAGCAATTGCAGGTTAGTTGAATTTTTTGTCTCAACTTGTTTTTTTTTTTTTTGTTGTTGTTGTTTTCTTAGCTCGCTATAGGAATCAGACCAGCCAGGCAGAGTCTTACTACAGACATGCAGCTCAGCTTGTCCCTTCTAATGGTGAGTCAGGGATACCTTTTAGGTTTATAATTCCAAAAGAAGATTTGGGCTACTGCTTTTCTTGTGTAGTAATTGGAAACTTGGGATTTTATATAAAACTTCCTCTCCAAATACCCCAAACAATTATGCAATAAAACCTGACCCACTGATAAATCATTTAGATAATAGGTCTTTGCTTGATCTGTGTCACTTGTCTCCTTTTTGTGAATATTTAAAAAAAGAAGTTAATGGACAGCTTCACTCCAAGGCTTCACGACTGCCACATTATACTGTGTTATATTCATATGTTATCAAGTACAATTAATGAAAACTTGCCTACTAGCAACATTTTTTTTCTTTTATTGCTTGTTCACATGCCAGTTTGTAAAGTTTAGTAGTTAAAACTGGACTTCTCAAGTTGCTCATGCAAGTTAAGAGCTTCTTTAGTTCAGTAATCTAGCTTTTTACACCATACTTGTTGTCCAATTTTGAAAAATGTTTTTAAAAAAAAGAAAAAAGCCCACAAAAAACCCCAGCAACAACAAAGAAGAAAAAAAATGTACTGCAAGTTTGGAAGCTTTTTAATTTGCGTGGTACTGGTAGGAGGTTGGAGTAAAAGGGTCAGCAGATAAATCTGAACCTTGTATGCTGAAGAATTTAGGACTTTGTGCTTCCTTTTAGGGTGACCATACTTAGGCTGATACCTGGCACACTTCAGTCCCTGACAACTTGTTGGACCACTTGTCTTTTTCTCCCTTAGGTCAGCCTTATAATCAGTTGGCTATCCTAGCTTCCTCCAAAGGAGACCACTTGACCACAATTTTCTACTACTGCAGAAGCATTGCTGTGAAGTTTCCTTTCCCAGCTGCCTCCACTAACCTACAAAAAGCACTTTCTAAAGCACTGGAAAGGTAAATCTAAGCATAATGTATTTCTGCTCAGATAAGATAGAGGAGAGTTCTTCCAAATCTACCTCCCTTGCCAGAATTTATTCATATTTGGTAGTAGAAACAGAAGTTCCTTGGCCCCCATCCAGTCAGAGCATCCTTACACATGTATGGAATAAAGAAAAGTTTGTGTCTAGGGTGCTCCTGCGTGTGAATAATGAACGTGGGAAATAATCATGTTGTACCAACATGAAAAAGCAGCTTTGCACAAACATTCCTCTTATCTTGAACTCCATAGAAAAAGTTTGTAGTGTTACATGCAGCTGTGTCTGATTCCAAAGACTGAAGACACATATTTGTGTTCTGAATGCAGTCGTGATGAGGTGAAGACTCGATGGAGCGTGTCTGACTTCATCAAGGCGTTTATTAAATTCCATGGCCATGTGTACCTGAGTAAGAGCTTGGAGAAGCTGAGCCCTCTTCGAGAAAAGCTGGAAGAGCAGTTCAAGGTTAGTTCTAACAACATATTAATTAGTGTATTGAGGAGAGTATTTTTAGCAGCTGAGTTCTGACATTACAGTCCAATAATAACTTTTTCATGTGCTCAAATACAGGAAGCTCAAGTAGCCAGTTATGGGAGGTTTGCATTGTAGGGAACACTGGATAGTTCTGTTGATTTCTGCAAATAGCAGGATTATTTTTTTTTCCATTGGACATATGCTGCATTATTGGTGGAAATACAGGAGAAATCAATGACTAGACTTGATTTTCTGCTCTTTAACCTGGGTGATTCTTGGATACCTGTGAAAAACACTTCATTCATCTGGGAATTCTTGGCTCAGTTACCTGAGGAGTTTTGAGAGCTTCATTTTTGGATGGCATTCATTCACTCCCACTGGTTATTAAGGCTGCTTTTAATCTTCCTCAGACAACTTGCCTCTCCTGTCAGTGGTTTGCCTTTAAAAATGATGTTCCAGTACCACCTTAATTTCTGTGTAGACTAGAACTACTCAGAACACGTTTCTGCTGGAAAATCCAGGAGTACCTATTAGATCTGATTAGATCTGAGGAAGAAGTTCTTCACTGTGAGGGTGGTCAGACACTGGAACAGGTTGCCCAAGGAAGTTGTAGATGCCCCCTCCCTGGAAGTGTTGAAGACCAGGTTGGATGAGGCTTTGAGCAACCTGGTCTAGTGGAAGGTGTCCCTGCTGATGGCAGGGGGGTTGGGACTGGATGATCTTTAAGGTCCCTCCCAATCCAAACCATTCTAATTATCTAGCCAGCTCATTAAGTTGGACGATATAGCAAAGATTGAAACAAAGAGAATTTTGTAAGGTAGTACAATTTCAAAGTGGACATTATATAAACTGTTAGATGCTTTTTGGAAACTGCTCTGCTTCAGTGTCTTCATTTGTGGAAAATGGGCAGGTAGTATGGATACATTCAACAGAGCAAATGTAGTAGATGCTTTTCCAAATGAGGAGGAGGTGGGCTTAGCAATATAAAGAATTGCAAATGTTCCTTACAATGCCTGTTTGCATTTTCTGCTTTGAATTGGGCTGCTGGTGCTAGGTCCAAACATTCCTTAAAATAAAACAAACAAACAAACAAACAAAAAAAACCCACACAAAAGTTGTGAATTGTATGAACTTTGAATGAGAGCTGCTTGAACGCTGGGAGTTAGTTATGCTTCAAAATTAAATAATTGTATCTCTCTTTCTGTGTGTGATGTTGGCTGTTGAACAAATACTGCTTTTTCCACAGTGCTTCTAGTCAATAATTATGAGCATTGCTCAGGCATGTGGAACAGTCTTATTTTTCTGAACTGATCCAGGGTGTTAAAAGAGAGCTAATTGAGCCCTGCATTGTTGCTTAGATTACTATTTTGTTTATATTATGCAATATAAGGCTTAAATTACTAGAGAGCAACTCTTCTGATTTAAATGGGTTGAATGTGGATGTGAAATTGGCTGGATGGTGGATAATCACTTTAACTGTGTGGCTGATTTTTCCTCTGAATGAGAACAGTTGTAGGGTTAGGAGTGTTCAGCCAGGGCCACGATTCTGCTGCTGACAGCTCTGCCAGTTCGAGGTGTTGGCTGTAGAGTGCTTCATGCCCTTAACTAAAAATCAAGGTTGAACATGGAGCTAAAACCTTTTCCTGGTGCTTACACTGGTTAATCCACTTGCCTCCCTGACTGTTGTGTCTGAAGATTAGAAGTTGTTTGTGGTTTAGGATATCATTTTTTTTTTTTATAGTGCTCAAAAAAGCATTAAAGTTTTAATCCACTTACCTCCCTGACTATTGTGTCTGAAGATAAGAAGTTGGTTGTGGTTTAGGATATCTCCTTATTTTTTTTCCCCCCCACAATGCTCCAAAACTGCATTAAAGTTTCTTTTCCTGTTCTGAGAAAGGTGTATTTTACAGCATAGTTACTGAAATGCATTTGTAAATAGCTCACGGTGTTTTAATCCACCATGGCATTCCATGACCCATGAAGTCAGGTGTGGAATTACTCTTTAATACATAACCACACAGTAGTTAGGTCATCCTGAGGTGGGTTTGTTTTAAAAAAAGTCACCTTTTCCATGCTGTTTCTTCAAGAAACTGAAGAACACAGTGGATATACACACCTCTGCAATCCTTGCATTAAATATATGCAATGAAAGAGAACCATAGCCAAGGTGGTGTTGATTTGTTGTGTGTTTGAGTTGGTGTATGAGCAGAAACCTTGAGCTTCACAGTGGGCACCTACCCCTGTCCTCCTGGGAAGTCCAGTGCTGTGCTGATAGGGATGACCTGAAAATAAAATAAAATAAAATCTAGAATGAATGTCATCTTAAGGGCAGAAACATGAGTCAAGCAGTGAGGTAGCGACTACTGATCCTTTCAAGTGTGTGCTTTACCATAAAACCATACATACATCATACATGTGTCTTTGTTGCAGAGGTTGTTATTCCAAAAGGCCTTCAATTCTCAGCAGTTAGTACATATTACTGTTATCAATCTGTTTCAACTACATCACCTGCGAGACTTCAGCAATGAAACAGAGCAGCACAGCTACAGCCAGGATGAGCAACTCTGCTGGACACAGCTACTGGCTCTCTTCAGTAAGTATGAAAACTAATTGATTTTTGCATTTCTCTTTCGTTTTTATATGGAATCTGTTGTGCTGTCAGCATTTAAATGGCTGTGTGAGGTAAGTGATGAGAATGAACAGTACAGAAGAAAATTAGGAGAAGGTAGTTGTGTAGGGTAGTTAATGTCTAACTGACATAACACTGGGCTGACTAACACTGGATTTATGTGCCGTGGACTTACTCCTTTTTAACCCTTACAGAACTCTGCATCTTTTTCCTCATTCTGAAGGAATTTTTTGACTTAAACAGAAAAACACAAGAGGAAGCATAACACCTGAAATGTGGGGGCCAAATGGATGGGTCTGGGCTCTTTTTGGTGGTGCCCAGTGACAGGACAAGAGGCAAAGGGCACAAACTGGAACAGCAGAAGTTCCAGACAAACTTCAGGAAAAACTTCTTTCTTGTGAGGGTGTTGGAGCCCTGGGACAGGCTGCCCAGGGAGGGTGTGGAGTCTCCATCTCTGGAGATGTTCAAACCCACCTGGACACTTTCCTGTGCAACC